GAGCGGCCGCATCTCCCACAGAGGCGGGGTGGCGTCCCGCTGAATTCGGGCTGGGGGTGTCGCTGGATTTCTCTTGAGCTATGGCTATGTCCTGCCTTCTGCCCCATCTGCCAGAGAAGTTTGTGTGAGCAAGGCGGAAGCTTTTCGATGTCTCAGGTCACACCGATGGTGAATGTCTCAAGCCAGACAGAAGTTGCTATCGAGATCAAGGCTACCCAAACCTTGAATCTCGGTATGGACGCTGGCACACAAACCCAGGAGGAGCAAGATCTGCTGTCATTGTCTGTCTTGAAGTGACTCGGAGCGCAGGAGACTCAAACAGCTGCGCTGTCTTCGCAGAACACGGCTCTCTCACCGCCAGATGCCTCGCAAGCCTCTGCTGCTAGCACCGCTGTACAGCACAGTCCCTGGAGGTTGACTGATGTTTGCAAGTATCCTGTATCGCCATGTGCCACCATCAAGGTCTGGTGGGCTTCAGCAATCGGTTGCCGACCAGCACCAAGTCGGGAAACAGGCACTGGCAGAGGTGGAGGGCTTCAAAGAAACAATCGTCTGTGCCTTACTGCTGCTGCGCTTTAATGCATAGTGTACGTTGTCGTGGGACCGCTCATCAGAAAGACTAAGGATCTGGCACATGCCAGGATCCGCCGCTTCTCGCAGACCTCACACTCCTCGCAGGGTCCGCCAAGCTCGCAATCCGGTTCAGAGGCTCTGGCGCAGGTAAAGGTATCGGGGTGCATCTTCGTGTCTCTGAGGCATTGGCTGAGCCCACGGCCTCGGAGTCGCAGGACTTGCCTTCAGCGCATCTCACACAGCCCGCGACCACAGAGCCCAGGCTTGGGAGCCTGGGAGCATTTTTACTTCAAAGCCTCTTCATGAAGTGCAGAATTCAAAGAAGAAACATGGAGGTCGCGCACTCTGTCCGCTTTCATTGAGGCCGAGTCATCTTAGTCGTCTTGGGCTTCTATGGGCCTTGCGGTCACCAGTGTTAGGTGCCAAGCAGCTTGCAGCGGATCCCATCGAAGAAGCAGCGAAGGCCAGCAGTGCTTTTGATATCCTCTATACGTACATGCGCAGCCCAAGCAGAAAAAAAAACACAGATTTTGAAAGGACTTTTGATATACTCATTTCTGCCTGCTTTCCGAAGGCGTCGGCACATCCGGGCTTCTATAAGGTTTCTGAAGTCCGTGGAGGAGCCACACGGTTTAGGGTTTAGAGTTTTGACGCCAAGACGTAGCTGCGAGCTGGCATGGCTGGCAGGACACGCGGCCTACAGGCACGCCAACGAGTTGTGGATTTGCAAAACTTGAGCTGCATGTTTCTTAGTTTCTCAGACTTTGGCTGGATGCTGCTATGACTCATAAGAGGCAGCGCGCAGCGACAAGCAGTCACTGCAGATCTCTCCGAGATGACGGGCGGGTGCATCGCAGCATCCGAGTCTTTTTCCACGCTACCTGCATTTTTCAAGTGGCAGGTCTTCAGCCTCAGGCTCTGAGTCCGAGGAATCTGTAGAGGCAACCGTGATGGACTTGGAATCTCAAAAGCGGACCTAAACGTTGTCAGAGGTTGCAGAATGCAGCCAGCAGAGCAACCTCAGCTCGGCCAACTGGCAGGCAAGTCACATCTTGTCTCCATCAAAAGCGCGCAAAGTATTCAAGCTGCGTGTTGGCCAGGAGCTGCCGTCACAGGTCTTGAGCTGGCTGAAGGAGAACTTGGTGCGGCTTGGAACTTCTGAAGTGCTGGCATTCGCGGTGGTGCCACTGAACGCTATCATGTGCGACATTCAGGTCTGAGGAGTCGGAGGCACATAGCGGCCTTGCACCGAGATGCCGAGCCCTTTTAGCTCTGCGCAAGAATTTGTCACCTAAAGGTATGGCCTGGGAGCCCACGCCTCTGCGCGTTTGGCCAGAGCTATCTCAAGAGCAGAGGTCAGTTCTGGTAAAGGCAAGCGCAGCCGTGTTATCCGACTTTATGCCAGGCTACGTTTGGCTCAGGGCTAAGTCCTCCTCCGGCAAATTTGTCCGGTTTGCCTCTTCCGTGTCGTTGGCAAGCTGCGCCCCAGGTGAGCGATTTCGAGAACTTTTTAGAGGCCGTTCTGAGATGTGGGTAAGAAACCTGAAGGCACCTCCGTGTGGGTCAGGCTGGACTTTGCCGGCCAAGGCCATCAAAGTATGAACTTTCGCAGAAATTGAGGCGCGCAACACAAGGCTAGCAGGTAGTAGTACCAATTCAAGCCCAAAGTACATTGGCTTGCAAGGGAGCGACTCCATCATAGTGAGCCTCCTGACAGTAGGCTGGTTGGTTCAATTGTGTGCATTGAGTAAATCAGATGCGTGCTCATGTGAAGCTGAGTAAATGCGTGCAGGCACCGCAGATTTGAAGGACACCGCTGCCTTGGCATCGGGTTTCGTTTTGTTGTGAATGGTTGCATCACCTTGAATCGTGTAGCCATGTGTAGTTCTTTTTCTCGTCAAACAAAGTACCCAGGATGCGCTAGCTTGCGGTACATTTCAGGCATCAAGGGCTGAGCTTGGCAAACGCAAGCACGTCTACATCGTCTACGCAACAACAACAACAGCAGCAGCAGCAGCAACAACAACAACAGCCTTTCTAAACCTCTCCATGACAGCTTTGCCCAGAGTCATGTCATCCAGCAACCCTCTTGGAGCTCAGCACCCTTGTCAGAAGGGCAATTCTGGGGATCATTCTGGGAGAATGGCATGGGGCCTTGCCAGCGCCTTCTAGAACTTGCGCTTGCAAAGAGGAGTTGAACGTGCCCTGAGCGTGGTGTTTTAGGATGATGGCTTGGCTTGAGTTTGGCGTATCAACGAGCGAATGAGTAAGATACAGAGTGGGTCTGTGAGTGGGTGACCGCTGGCCTTTGGATTCGCGGGACCTGATGAGCGTGTCCTAGTGCGCCCTAAGGCCCTAAGGTGAGACAAGAAGCCCTTGCCCGATCCTATCTCCTGCGGCTGGCTCCGAGTGTAATCTTGATCTCGCTGTTGGAGGCCCCGCCTCGTACGGCCATCATTGTGTGTATACCGATCAGTGGATATGTATCACTTAAGCAGCTATATACAAACTACGGCTATTGGTCATGGGTATGTACGTAATTATGAGCGATGGTCAATTAATCGCGCATTCGGGAAGAAAAGGAATGCCGTGAGATGCAGAAATCGCGCAAAACGCACCAAAAGCGTAGATTTTTTTTGAAGCGATACTGTTCAATCTCAGACGAAACCGTGACTGTTTTGGCTGAACTCCCCAAAAGCGATATCTGTCCCCAATTTGTCCAACGGCATCGGGTCATGCAAGGAGTTCTGGCGAGCGCTCAAATGAGCAGCGTTTTTTTCTGCATGAAGGTATGATGGCCGTGAAACTGTATGAGTGCTCGCGTAGCCTGGGGCCTGCAGGGCGTAGTCGTAGTCTCGCGTAGTCACGTGTAGGTTATCTTGTCGGCGTAGTCTGCGTAGTTTGTATGTTTCATAAGACGTATTGCGTATAACGTTGTATAAGCCAGGTGTGCCGCGTAGTCCGCGTAGTCACCTGAATAGCAAGAGTCAGCAAGAACAACCCTGCGTAGTCTCTTCCGCATGGAAAACAACCATTCCGCGTAGTTCGCGTAGGCTCTCCATGTTAGTAGAAGAAACTTTATAAAAAGATGCTCAAATATGTACAAGCTGATAGCACAGAAATGCACAGAATGTAGCAGTGGCGTTCACGAACCAGGCTGTTGCAAGGCATCACGCTGGGTTGCAAGCTTCCAGTCTTCCGTACACCACCAGCGAGCGGTTGCCGAGAGTGCAATGGTAAAATGGCACGTATGGACTCCCAAGTGGCCGGTCTAGCATGGTCTTACAGTCCAGCTACAGAAGGGAAGATTCTGTGCTTTTTGCACAACTTCAGGAAGTTGAAAGTTGGTGCAGAGGCAGCGTCAGAAAAAGCCTGCAGAGCTCTTGGTTTTTGCAAGTACATTTTTTACATATGGCTACCGCTCAAGATGATTAGTCCGGAACAAGGGGAGACACACATCCCGATCCAGACCCCGATCCAGAGATGCGGAACAAGTCCACGAATTCCATTCCGGACCCCTCCATTCCAGACCAACATAGACCAACGAATGCAGTATCTTAAGATTGAAATAAATTGAGGTTGCCATGGGTGTCCGTTCCGTACCTGTTCCATACCCGTTCCAGACCAAACAGAGCATTTACGACATACTCACCCCGTATCACTTGTGGGAAAGAGTCAGTCATCGTTCCAGACCCTTCGGATCAGGTGTGCGATCCAGACCCTCCGGATCAGACAGCATAGGAACATGCATGCGGGGCACGTGGTTTTGATCAGTAGCCAAATATTATAATTGCACTGCCAACCTCATGAAATCTGAACCCTGCTGGGCGGCTCAGTTCAGATAGAGCCGCTGAAGCCATGCAACTGCATTTTAGTCCCGTGGTGCAAGAGCATGTTTTGACAGCAGGAGCGCGAGTCTATGAGTTTCCGCTCAACGTGGGCTCAGTTTTGATTCATGCCTTTTGCTGTGTCCTGTCTCTGTACCATCAAGCAGGCGGAGCCAGTGCTCAGATCTGAGTGAGTACCGCCGTCACTGCATGCGCTTTCAGTGCAAAGAGGAGGAAAGTCATGCGGGAGCTGCGCCCCAGGCAGATATCTGCGCGGCTCCGTCGCGCCATGGCTTCTGAGTGGATCGAACATCAGGCAGGGCTGGCCACGGCTTGGTCGGTTCCTTGTTCCCACAGCTGTTTCCTTCAGGATCGGCTTGGCTGGCGGCCGAGCCCAAAGCTGGGGCGATCGCCAATCCGTCAGAATGCTCGAGGAGCTGAGACCGAGCCCGGCTTCTTCGCGAATCAACGGCGCGGGAGCACGGGCAGCGTGCGAGAACGCAGCCTCAGAGCCTCGCGCTCGCCAGAGTCCGCGCCTCGGAGCGGGAACGGCATCAAGTTGCAAGCACCTTGCAAGCACCTTGTAATGCTTCTCAGGCGTGTTTCAGTCACGCAGTTCGTACCGGACTTCGAGGGTAGCCGCAGCCCAGAGCGCTCCCGAGAGCCACGGCGGGAGCTGCGGGAGCTGCAGCGCCCTGTGGCAGCGGGTCCCCGTGGCTCCCTGGGCTCGCTGGTTCCTGTGGGGAAGCCGCTGGCACCCCTAAGAAGGGAACGAAGAAGACCCACGGCTGATCGTCTCAATGACTTCGTGGCGGACTCAGAACAGCTCAGTGACTGAGTGCGTCGCAATGCAAGGCTGCAGTCTTTGTGCTGAATGAATGTCAGATCTAGAGATGTCCTCAATAAAGCCCTCCAGTCGCGATTTGCCAAGCAGCCTTCTTCTTGCCCCCCTAAAAAATGGAAACTTGTAAGTTCAAGCTGCTACTGGCAAAAGCCTGAAGACTTAGTAAAGCGCTCTTGGGCGACGATCCACTGGTGTATGTTACTGAAGATGGTAGAGCCGTGCTGGGTTCCGGCAGGATTTGGACCATCCTTGGCCGCATTCAAACATATTCAAACTGGATCAGAGCTAGATGTAAGTCTAAGCGGCCGCAACAGATGCATTCAGCTTGCAGGCAAACTTATTAGCAGCTGCTGTTGCCAACGCCAGAAGGTCACCTGCAAACGGCAGCCTTTGATGACTGCCATGATTTTGTGCAAGTAATGCTTTTGCGAAACTCGGAACTGCGACAGTCAGGCGGCAGCAGTGCTGGGCCTGGATGCAGCTTGCAGAGCATCATGACGGAGTTGATGCTGAAGAAGAATGCTCCATTCTCAAGCCTCAAGGTTCAACATGTCAGTTTTTGCAGTAACTGCACGGAACATGCAGGGAGCGGGTACACTGAGTGCAAAGCTGCCTCTCCACCTTTGATGCACAGCCAAGGGGAGGCTGCCTCAAGCCACTCGCCTTCGCCAGAAGGCACGCGATGCACATTTCAAAGCATCTCAATCCCTCGGCACGTTGGACACTGCGCAAGACGTAGATTTAAATTGTCGACAACATGACTTAGCACATCGACCAAAAGAGGCTGCAACCAGAGTTCAAGGAGGGATCCCACATCATTTTGCAAGCTTTTAAACAGCTGCAGATATGCAAGCATGGGGAAAGCGCAGTATTGATGAAGAGCAAGCAGCAAAGGGATGTCCCGGAGTGGGAGATCAGCTGTCAGCTTTGGCTATCAACCGTTCATCCAGGCCGAGGTCGCCGAGGCATCCGAGGCCAAGGGCTGGGAGCACAGATTTCCAAAACGTTTCTGAAGCCCAGGCCCAAGGCCAGGCCCGAGGCCAAGTGCCGGTAGCTGAGGCCAAGGGCACGGCCGCCAAGGCGGCCGCAAGAGCCAGAGCGCTTCGAGCGCTCAGAGCGCCTTGAGACGGAGCGCCGTCAAGGCACGACTGCATGATACTGCATGGTATGCCGCTTTGTTTCTTGCTTGAGCCGCCTTGCCTGACGTAGGTTTTGAGCGCATGGGCGCCATGACCGGCTGGCGACGCTGCAAAGCCGCAGATAGCCGTGATTGAAGAGAGCTGTTGCCCTGAACTTCTCAGGGCCGGCACCGCCCCCTCGGCCCAAGGCCGTCCATGCGCCGCAGCTCGCTGTTCGGCTTGTGAGGTCGACCTTGTGCACCCGCTGAAGTGTGAAAGATTGCATGGCCTTCTGAGGCCAGCAGAGACAAGGCGCGATTATCAGCAAGTTCTGGCCTTGGGTCTTAAAAGGGCGTTGCCCTTTGGCAGGACAGACAAGTGGCAGGCAAAACTTGCGACGCTTTCCTATGGTCATAATCATGAGAGTGGTTTCCTACAGCTTGATTGAAGGCACGTAGCTTCGAGAACTACGTGGGCTGTGTGGCCTGGAATTACCGTGACCGTCATCTTGGAGACCTTCAGGCTCCATCGTTGAAAGGCGACTTTGCTGCGCGAAGCTGAGCATGCTTCAGATGCTTCAGAGATGTTCAGAGTGAGCGTATCTTTTGATGCGATTTCGTTGATGAAAGGCGCACTTGCAGGATGATCAGGCTGCACACAAGGGTTCAATGCTCCTTGAATTGCCACTTGGCACCCCTTCGCACAGGCCCGTCTGGCAGCCTGGCAGCGGCTCTTGCTCCCAAAGGAGCACTTCAGGCCCAACATGTCATAGGTAAAAACATCTCTTTCGAGACTGAACCTGTGTCACTAGGCTCTCTGACCTGAAAGCCGCTCGGCTGCAGCATGCTGCAGCTGTTTGTACTGTGGCCCCGGAACTTGGGAACATTCTAGGATGCTCGCATTGGAAAGTCCATGGTAGGCAGGATGTGCACGCTTGCAATCGCTTGCCTTGCCGAAAATTAAAGGCATCAAAAAGCTTCCTTGCACAGCAGGCACAGCAGGTCTCCCAGCTTTGCCGCCGCTGTCTCCCGAGAGTGCCAGGCAGCCTCGGAGCGAGGCCCTCGCGGGAAGTGGGTAGTCTTTGAAGCTGAAGTTTGGAAAGCATTTAGAAAGGCTGCCGCAAATCAGTTTTGGATTGAACTACTGGGGCTAAGATTTTAAATAAGGGGTCCGGGAGGCCCAATTCAATTTGGAACTCACAGATCCAGAGCAGGGCGAGGGTTATGTTTCAACGAGTCCTTCAAAACCCCAGCTTCAGTGCGACTCCACTTCGGGATCAACGCGCTTTTCTTTTTGATCTTTTCGCCGAGAGCACATGGTACACACGAATTCTCGTGGAATTTGCGTGTTGGGTCTCTGGTACATGAGTGGGCATGAGCTTGCATGCATCCGCACGCATGCGCATTGTTGCGAGTAGGGGTAGGGTGCAGTGGGTCAGGTCGTGTCAGGTTTGGTCTCACTGGGCTTTCATGTTATGTTTACCCAGAAGCATGCAATCTGGCACCCACTTACTCTTAGCAGTAGAGTTCTCGAATGCTAGAACATCGAGAAGCGCAGTCCTCTTATTCAAGATGCTTTGCTCTGCCTGTTGTGCACCGTCCTGTCGCTTCCAAGCTTTCTCCGGCATTGCAGGACCTTGAGCAGAAGGGTTGGAGCACCATTCGCTGAGCGAATGGTGCCGGTTCACATTTAGTTGTGCAGCTAGTCTGAGCCAACTGGCCTAAACGTAACTCGTTCTGGGCCCAAAGAGGCTTGGCTCTCGCAGGCGCTATGCAAATTGTGCGGCGATAAAATTGCAATGACACGGATCCCGGCATGTTCGTTAGTTAAGCTGTTGTGAGCTTGGCAAAGTCTGTTTACACCGAACCATGTCCTCCGCAACCGCTATACCGCTATACAACGTTCCAGAGCTCCTGGGCAATTCCGACGTAATTGACAAGATACGTGTAGCCGGCCGGTCCAATGCAATATGCAATCATGTTGAAATTGCAGGCTGAGGAAGAGGGAGCACTAACCAAAGAGCACTCACAGGGAAAATATCATTTGAAAAAGCTTATCCTTAGATGATGGCGTGATCCATCATTGGCAATGAACTCAAGCTTTAAGACCCAATATTTGAATTCCCATAAAGGTTCATGGCAAATATATACGTTCAAATCATTGGGGATTCCCCTCAGGGCCCTACCGTTCGCGAGGTTCGTGGGGATTCGCGGATCTTTCGTGGGGTTTGTAGACGTTTCGCGGGGGTTATCGAACCCGTTTTGGAGACCTTCTACGGTATGCGGAACCAGCGAAATCTCAGGGATTCGGCGCCTTCAATTAATATTTTCTCGCTTCTCTGAATTTCGGCTTATTATAAGAGGGGTCTTGATAGAGAGGATGTCAAGAACAATTCTTTCACATATAATAGTACATATGATAAGGATGAGGGTTTAGGGTTCAGGGTTTAGGGTTTAGGGGTTCAGGCAAGGCCTCAGGCGGGGATAGATCAAGCATTCTGAGGATTTGTTGGTCCTGCGTTGACAATTTGTGCGTTTCCGAGTGGCTGCTATGGTACCTCTGGCCAGCCAGAATGGACTCACTTGGAGCAGCAAAATCTTTGCAACGCCCAGCAGGCGCAGAAATGCTACACGACCACTATCGTTCCATTTTTCTGCATGTGCCTTCAGGCCGACGACAATGTGGTGATGTCTACACGTGTGCAGGTATTTCCAAACTTGTCAAAGGCCAAGCGGTCAGCGATTTTCCATGACTGCTGGCCAACAGGCTGCCATGCAGAAGCTGGACTGCGACACTTCCGGGTTGATCGTCATTAGCTGAGTTTTGATGGCTGCATGTCTGCCCGGCAGATTCGCTCATGGCCGCCAAGGCAGAGCTTTGCGAAGATGCACGTTTTCACACAGCCCGTGCGGCTTAACCAGCTGTGCTTAGTCCAGCCACAATAATTCAGATCGACCGTGCCGCGCAGGGGGGTTCGCGCTGAGCTATCAACAATGTTTTGATGCCGAATTTACTCAGCATGTAATTCGGTCAGCCAGGGTGCAAGCCCTGGGAAGTTGATTCGATCTCAAAGAAAAACGGCAGGAACTTAGGGTTGGACTTGTACCTTCTGACAGGAAAGCAAGGCGCAAGGATTTCTTGAAAGGGGTGGCTGCAGATCTTGTCTGTCGAACAGGATGGAAAGGGTCAAGCTCTGTGTCTCGACCTTACTGCACTTGGTTCACCCAACACAGCACAGCTTTTTCTGTGCTTGTGACTTCGGCAGTCTCTTCCCTAGCATCCTTGCGAGGTCGTCGTCGTTGTGACGTTGTCGTCGCCGCTTGCATGGTGGTTCTAATTAATGAATTAATTATGCTTGCCGTATTGTGGGTGGTGGTGCTGGTGCTGGTGCTGGTGCTGGTGGCGGTGGTGTATGTGGTGGTGGCGGTGGCGGTGGTGTATGTGGTGGTGGCGGTGGCGGTGGTGGTGTATGTCTTGTACGCGGTGTACGCGGTGTACGCGGTGTATGCGGTCTATGCGGTCTATGCGGTCTATGCGGTCTATGCGGTCTATGCGTCTATGCGGTCTATGCGGTCTATGTGGTCTATGTGGTGTATGTGGTGTATGCGGT